TGGGCACTGGACAAATATTCTGTGGAGGAATTAGACAAAGGAAAAGAGTGTAGGGTTAAGCTCACACTATAAAAAATCACAAAATTTTTTATAGTGTGAGCTTCCCTCTCCCATTAAAAATTTCACAAGAGAAGTCATTTCTCCAGAATGTCTTTACATTTTGTAACATCAATACTATAAGATACCAGTGACCCCCCACAGGGCTCACCAATATGCAAAGAGACTGTGGAATGGCTACAAATATGAGTGGATTTCAAGTTAAAGTGGTTGAGAAGGGGAAAAAGTCCCCATGAGGAGAGATTTGGAAAAGGCATTGGGAGAGGGGCTTCCTAGAAGCAGAAGCAAAAGAAACCACCAGCATACCCACCCCAGCGTGCATGAATCCATCCCAGTAACAATACCACGTTCTCACTTACACAATGCGGAGCTTGTGTTTGGCTTTCACCATGTTACCTGATTTGCTCACACAATTTTATGGTGGTTGTTCTTGATGAATGTTACTAAAGAAGATTGCATGGGTTCAAGGCAGGTACTACAATTTTTTTGCAGACAGAAACTCGCACATAATCTCGCCAGTTCCCTCCCAATGTTAAAATCCCCTCTCCAATACCGCCCTCAGCCACCCAACCTCTCCTTGAATGCTCTCAGGGATGGAGAGCTCCTGGGCTCTCAACGTGTTCCATTTCTGAAGAGCTCTCAGAATCCATACCCTGGTTGGAGTTCAACATTAATGAGTAACCCAGAATCAGTTTACTCTTGCTCTGCACAACCCCCTTAACACACATCTTGCCTGCATCCTCCAGCTGTTCCTCTGGGCCAGGGGCAGAGTGTCTCTGCTGCCCATTACCTACCCTCACTAAGCTCCAGTGTTCTCATCTATAAAATGGTAATAACAATAACATCTACCCCCTAGGGTTACTGTGAGGATTCAATAATGAGCTGTAAACGAACGATATCATGGATGTCTGTCCCTTGGCCTACAATAACCAAAATATTAACTATTATTGCTCTTATCTTTCTTGTCCTGGCCTGCACACTACTCACTATTCTTCTGTGGGTGCAGCTTGGGATTGTGTCATATTTGTAGCAGTTCTGATGGCAACAAAAATAAAATAAAACACCTGTATTTGTTTTCATGGGCATGACCCTCAAATCTGCACTCCCCTATTACACATTTCGGCAACTGAGTTTTGGAACCTAATATCGGACACAAATGTTTTCCTGTTTGTTTCAGCTCGTCAAATCAGTCTGTTGTGATCATGCTGATCTTAACTCTGTACCCACACTGAAGGCCTGGGTGCTGCCCCTTCCAGCTGTCTCCCAACTTGTATCTTAGAGATTCTCTAAACAACTCAAGCATGAGCCCAAAAACTAGAGACTCAGGAACTGGCTCTGTGAGACGACTGCAATTGAGCTGCACATTTTCTAGATGAGGAAACGGAGGTACAAAGAGATTAGTTGGGTTCAGGAAATCACAGAGGTAGTAACGGTCATTGTTACCGCCGTCACGGACTGGGCACTCCTGTCCACAGGCACGAAGCAAAGACGCCATGCTTTATACAGGGTCTTCCCAGACTATAACCCCCCCCCAGAGGAAAACAGTTGAGTCTAATATGTAGGCCCCAAAACTCAGTTGACCAAACACACACTAGGAGAGTGCAGATTTGAGGGTCATGCCCATGAAACAAATCCAGGTGTTTTGTTTTATTCTATTCTTGCTGCCATCAGAACCGCTACAAATATGACACAATCCCAAACTGCACCCACCCCCAGAGGGCAGAATGCATGGCTGCAGCATTCAGCACCCTGTACTCTGCACCCAGCTCTGTGCCAGACACACACTAGGGACTCAACAAACACTCGCTGAACAAACATTTGACATTTCCTTGAAAATGATAAAACCTAGACTTTAAGAGATTAGACAACGGACTCGAGGTCCCCAGCTGATTCTGGGACATGCTGTGATTAGAACCCAATCTGCCTGGCTCCAAAACCAGCCCCCACTTTACCTCCCTATCAGCAAAATTGTTCTAGAACGCAGTGCACTGGGCAGTCTCTCAGCATTACATCTGGGAACAGAGCCACTAAAGTCACATGCCCCAAACTTACATCTAAACAAGAGAAGTGGGGAAAACCTACCAAGACCCAAAATATCTTTGAGCAGAGAAGATCCTTTAGCCTCTCCTCCCAAAATGACTCACTTTCTGGTTCCATTCTCCCACTGACTCATCCTGCTGGGACATTTCGCTTCCTCCAAAGCAGAAGGGCTCCATGCCAGACTTGCCAGCACTCAGGCCCTGCTGGGCTTCCTAGCAGAAGCTGGTTCCAGGGAGGAACGAGAACCAGGGCCTCTGTTTCCTAATGTTTGCCAACCACCCCTCTGCCCTTTCCCAGACACCAGGAAAGAAAGAAAGGGTTCTGTCTCTTCATCCACACTTAAGAGTATGTGGTGTTTCTGTGTGTAGGTATGTGTTTATATTTGCATGCATGTTTACTCAGAACAAAGTCTTCCTCCATCCATCTACCGTGTGCTCAACCTTACAACAGATACTGTTGGGGTTACAGGGAAGGAGAGGACATGCTCTCCGTTCTAGCAAGTATGAGCAAAGACTGAGGAAGGTTGCTCAGGAGGCAGTGGGAGGGCATGCCTGACCAAAGGATGAGTGGAGAAAGAAGGGTGGGGCCTTGAGGACCAAGCTCAGAAAATTCTGATTTTTCACCTGTCACATGAAGAGAACCAATCAAAATTTCATTCGAAGCAGAGAAGGAACATGGTAGAAGCCAATTCTTGGGAGATCAGTCCAGCAACAGTGTATATAGTGGTTTGGAGGCAGGAAGGCAAGAGCTCTTCCTAAGAGCAGGCTAGTATCCAATGAGCATGAAGCAGGCATATGTCCATTCAACAGACAAATACTCATCTGTGGTCATTACTATGAAACTTCGTTCTTTTTCAAGCTACTCTTTGCCGATCTCCATTTTCCAACTTCACTCATGTCTGTTCCTTCCTCTGGACATCCTTCTTTCTAAATCTCTTCCAATTTGGGGATTCAGGTCTGGAGCCAATATTCTAGCAGCATTCCACTAATTGCAATAATATTTTCTAACACGATAGGGGTCTGGGTCAACATCCAGTATGCAGAGCCCAGAGTTTTTGTGGTGCTTATTAATCAAGCATCCAGTTAGGCAAGAGGCTAGATGACTTCAAAAGTCCTTCCAACCTTAAAGAGTCTGTGAGTCTAAAGTACTGACTCCACTAATAGGTTTTTATGTTTTCTCTTATTAGACAACTCACTTATTCAGGAACATGGCTAGGACCATGCACACCACCTCCCCACTTACATCTGTGCTGGTTGAACCCCTGGCTCCAACTGGCAGGATGCCTGCCACAGCCATGAATGCCTGGAGACACAGAACACTGAGAGTTTCAGAAAAGACTGGGTTCTAAGTCATCAAACATTCATTTTAATGCTTGTTTATCCATTAAATAAGTATTAAGTTGTTCTAACTACAGAAAAGACCCCCATCACGTCTGTCTTCCTTTTTTTTTTTTTTTTTTTGAGACAGAGTCTTGCTCTGTCACCCAGGCTGGGGTGCAGTGGCACAATCATGGCTTACTATAACCTCCACCTTCTGGGTTCAGGCGATTATTCCTGCCTCAGCCTCCTGGGTAACTGGGGCTACAAGCGCCCATCATCTCGCCCAACTAATTTTTGTATTTTAGTAGGGATGGGGTTTTGTCATGTTGGCCAGGCTGGTATCAAACTCCTGACCTCTGGCGATCTGCCTGCCTCAGCCTCTCAAAGTGCTGGGATTACAGGCTTGAGCCATCGCAGCTGGCCTATCTTTTCCATTTCTTCTCAGGGCCTGTGAATTTGTATTGGGGGGAAAAAGCACATTCGTAGGTCCTGTTAATAATCTGGTATTCAAGCAGTTCCAAAGGCTCCCCAGCAAGAACCAGGTTATGAAGGAAGTGGGAGAGTCTTCCCCGGGGCCAGGAAAGGAAGGCATTTTCCAGGAGCAGAGAGATGTTCACAGCCTTCTGTGACAGCCCCAAAAGGGGCCCTCTCTAGGTCTTAGCAACCAGCTCTCCAGACACAGGTGCCTTGACATCACAAGACAGCTGCTTACACTCCTGCTCAGATCCTGTAGCAACCTTCTGCAGATCCCTGGATTGTCTGAAAAACACAATCCTACATGCAGCATCAACTCTGAGTTAGGTTCATCCCATGCAAAAAGCAAAGCTCATGCCTCCTACAGGTAACTCAGCGGGTGTTAGTTCCCGTCCCTTCCCGAGAGCCCCTGGCTCCTCCAAAATCCTCCTAGCATGAGAATTCTATTTCCTCTCCTGTTAAACTGATGGATATTGGTGGCTACCAAGGAATGATGCCCATTTTAAATGATTTGTTGCCTCCCCAGCAAGCAACTTCACTTTTAATAAGAGGCAGAGAGTCCATCCCTAAGTCCTGATATCCCCTCCTCGGAGAATCTGCTTCCTTAACTGTGTTCCTCCTTTTTCTCTGCAGATCTGCAGTTTGAGAATAAACTTGCAATTTGAAAATGCCGCCCTTCTCCCAGCTCCTCACCTACCTCAGTGTGTCTCATCTTCATGCTAGGCTTGTGGGAATCTCAGAAGGTTACATAGAAACACTGGAAATCAGCCTGGCACGGTGGCTCATGCCTGTAATCCCAGCACTTTGGGAGGCTGAGGCAGGCAGATCACCTGAGGTCAGCAGTTCAAGACCAGCCTGGCCAACATGGCAAAACCCCCTCTCTACTAAAAATATAAAAATAGGTGGGCATGGTGGTAGGGGCCTGTAATTTCAGCTACTCAGGAGGCTGAGGCAGGAGAATCACTTGAACCCAGGAGGCGGAGGTTGCAGTGAGCTGAGATCATGTCACTGCACTGCAGCACAACAGGGCGAACTTTTGGAAAAAGAAGAAAGAAGGAAAAGAGAGAAAGAGAAAGAGAGAGGGAGAGAAGAAGGAAGGAGAGAAGGAAGCAAGGAAGGAAAGAGGCAGGGAGGGCAGGAGGGGGGAAGGAGGGAGGGAGGGAGAAAAGGAAGGAAGAAAGGAAGGAAGAGAAAGGAAGAGAAACACTGGAAATCAGGACAGGAAATGATGAGAAGGGGTGCTTGCAAGCTTTATTTGAGGCAAGATCTGCTTGAACTGGATTCTGTGTGTTTCTTGTTTGTTTAAGAAGCTGCTGTTTAAGTTGAGATGGAGTGTCTCTCTTGCTTTCAATGCACACACAAACCCAGAAGAGAAGAGGAACAACGGGAGCAGCTACTTGACAAGGATAGAGGTGGCTTGTATTGTCCCCTCTCCTGGTTGCTAAGCACCCAGAAATTGATGAACAGCCTTTGACAGGAGAGAGTTACAGGCAGGGAGAGATGCTTGTCCACAGAAAGGCTCTCTGGGTGTTGGGAAGGCAGCCTGGGTAAAAAGTGATTTCCAAGCTGGCTGGAAGAGTCTGGATGGAAAGGAAAAGGTGCCCCATTGCTCTGCACATCCTGAGTAGCTGGAATTACAGGTGCCTGCCATCGTGCCCACCTAAATTTTGTATTTTTAGTAGAGACAGGATTTTGCCATGTTGGCCAGGCTGGTCTCGAACTCCTGACCTCAGGTGATCTGCCAGCCCTGGTCTCCTTAATCAGGCACCTCTGGGTTCAGCTGACCTGGCCATGGATGGAGTGGTGACCCTCCATAGATGGATGGCCAATCCCACCACAAATGCTGACTGAGTTCTGGAGTCATGAGAAGTTCCCTCTGGACGTGCCTAGCTAGCCAGTGCCAATTCTTCAGTGACAGTAAAGACAGTCCAACAGACTCATCACCAACCATGAAAGAAGATGGATCAAGTGATAGCATTGTCCTCCTGTATCCCACTTTCAGCATGAAATGGAATTCCACTTCCCTGGGGTGATGGCCATGTAGCCATTTTGTTTAGAGACTCAGGAAGGAAGGTTTCTGCTCTGGGATTTTATGTCCTGAAGGGCTCAAGGAGAATGCTATAACTAGGAATTTTAAAGGACGGAACTGAGAGAGAGAGAAGCATTTCCTGTAATGTCAGATGCACAGAGGACCCCTAGGAACATGTGAAGACCTACCACCGCCCCTCCCCCACACCCACCCAGGCACTAGATGACAAGGAGGGAAGCTTGACCAGGGCTGAAGGCTTTCTGCTTTCAAGCCTAAACTCAGTTCTACCCTTACCTGACTTCTCCATCCGCTCCCCAGGCTGCCAGCAGGACCCTTATAAACGTGAGTCTGACCATACATTTGCTTACAGTCCTCAGGGCTGCCCATCTCATTCAGGGGAAAACCAAGGTCCTGAAAATGGTTTCTAAGACGGCCTGGTCTGCCCCTGTAGCTGCCTCCCTGGGCCATCTCCTACCATCTTCCCGCAGCGGGCTCCGCATCAGCACCCCTGCCTCACACACTCCAGCCCGCTGCCTGGCCTGCTCCTCTCCAGCAATTTCTCACCTTCTCAGGAGTTTGCTTAAATGTCACCTTCTGACCCTATTCAAGATTGCAAACCCAAATCCTGCCCTTCTAGCATCCTCATGTCCCTGTCCTGCTTTGCTTTCCTCCAAAATTTTCCTCAATGTTTTGAGTTCAGGGATGATATGGCACCAGCATGCCAGTTTGTTCACTGTTCATCTCCCCCCAGTAGAATGTAAATTCCAAGAATGCAGGCGTTTTTGTCAGTTTTGTTCACTGCTGAACCATCAGGGTGTTAAAACAATACCCAGCATATAGCAGAGACTCAATAAATATTTGTTTAATCAATTAATTAAAGATCTATCTCCCTTGCAAGGGACCATACCTCATTACTTTGAAAATCAGTAAGTGATGAGAAAGCACCTGTCCTTCTTTTTCTGCCACATGGTATTTCAAGATAATCAAACTGTTGATGACAGAGCGTTCTTCTTTATAGAAGAATTCCAGCTACTCAATGCAAAAGGAATGAGAGAATCAGAAAATGAGCATTTCAAGCTCTAATGAAATAATGGATCTCGGCAACAGTTGTCGATGGATGTGAAAGCCATCAGGGGAAAGGCTGATGGGGCCTCAGTAACAGATGAGGGACAAGGCTGTGATCCGGAAGCCCACCCACCAATCTCAGCATCTCAACAGGATAACCACAGCTGCCATATCCCTGACCCTCCCTTCAAAACAAATACACCCTGAATCTAACTTAGAGGTCACAGAAAACATGGAGGATGAAGGAAAAAATTAAAGGGCAAAATGAGGAAACAGCCAACCACATCAAAATGAGGGACATTCTGCAGGACAACTGACCTAGTTTCTTCAACAAACAAATGACATGCAAAATGGGAGGGGAACAGTTACACATAAAAAGAGATTTACAACACGTACAAGCAAATGTAATGTGTAGACTCTATTAGAATCCTGATTCAAACCAACTGGCAAAGACATGTTGACATAATAAGGGAAATTTACATGTGAACTGAATATTAGATCATATTAAGTATCTCCTGCGTTTTACTGTTATTGTTATCTGGAGTGAAAAAGATATTTGGTTATACATATTTTTAAAAACTTGGCTGGGCGCAGTGGATCACGCCTGTAATCTCAACACTTTGGGAGGCCAAGGCGGGCAGATCATGAGGTCAGGAGATTGACAACATCCTGGCTAACACGGTGAAACTGTGTCTTTACTAAAAATACAGAATATTAGCCAGCTGTGGTGGCACGCGCCTGTAGTCCCAGCTACCTGAGAGGCTAAGGCAGGAGAATTGTTTGAACCAGGGAGGCAGAGGTTACAGTGAGCGGAGATTGCACCATTGCACTCCACCTGGGTGACAGAGCAAGACTCTGTCTCAAAAAAAAAGAAAAATCTTGTCTGTTAAAGATGCATGCCAAAGTACAGCTGACCCTTGAACAACACAGGTTTGAACAGTGTGGGTCACTTACATGTGGATTTTCTTCCGCCTCTGCCACCCCTGAGACAGCAAGACCTAGTTACCCTCCTCCTCCTCCTCTTCTCTTCCGCAGCCTGATCAACGTGATGACAAGGATGAAGATCTTTACAATGGTCTGCTTACACTTAATGAATAGTAAATATATTTGTTCTTCCTTAGGATTTTCTTAATGACATTTTCTTTTCTCTAGCCTACTTTACTGTAAGAATACACTAAATAATACATATAAAATACAAAATATGTGTTCATCGACTGTTTATGTTATTGGTCAGGCTTCAGGTTAACAGTAGACCATCAGTAGTTAGGTTTTGAGGGAGTCAAAATTTATGTGCAGATTTTCGACCATGCAATAAGTCAGTACCTCTAGTCCCCATGTTGTTCAAGGGTCAGCTATACTTACAGATGAAATTATATAATTGCTGAAATTGTCTTCCAAACATCCCAGAAAAGAAAAAATTCTTGAGGGAAACAGATAAAACCAAATCAGCAACTTGATGACTGCTGAAGCTGGAGCATGGGAACTCATTATCGATGTCTCTTTGATGACATTTGAAAGTTTCCATTATAAAATTCCATTTTAAAATATAAAACTACCTGCCTTATAGACGAACTTGATGAGGTTAAAAAAATTCAAAGTACCTAGAATAGCTCTGTGCACCCCATCAATTCTGGCTGGAGGTCAAGTGCTAGAAGCTGAAGAGCTGGTCATTCTCTAACTATAAAGACTTGCCTCCCCTTGTAGAGAAAGCACCTCTGCCTGCAACAAAGCCCAGGCACTGGTGATTTCTAGAGTTTTCTCTCTTGCCTGAAAGCCCTGGGAAGGCTGGCCACCATTTCTCTAGGATTCCACTTCCCTTTTCCACGTAAGGCCACAAACGTCCCTCTAGTCTCCCTCCTTCCCCTTGGGTAGCTCCTCTGCCTCTTAGATGTTCTTTAGCCACAACTAAATATGTTACGTAATAAATCTGTGAACTTGTGTGGGAAGTATTAAAACTCACCCTTTGATGTTTGCTGCTGATTCTAAGGTGAAGGGGGGCTAATTTTTCTTGGATTCCAGGCCCTTAAGAGATAGGTAATATTGTCCCTGATGCCCACATGAGGAAACAAAAGTGCAGAGAGATTGGGGAAGTTACCAAGTTACAAGGTTCCCCATCATCATAGTAGGATGCATGTGGTGCCTACTTTGAGTTGGGCATGGTTCTAGTAGTAGGTACTGTGTTTAGCCCCATTTTACTGATCAGGGAACTGAGGTACAGAAAGGTTAAGTCGCAAGCCTAGTCAGGGGTCGCAGTGGTGGTGGGGTGGGTTGGGGTAGGGCTTGAGCGGGATCCTGACAGCCAGAGAATGGGCTCAGGCAGGGAGGAAGGGAGTCCCGCTCCCAGAAGAAGATGGGGTTACAGGGTGGAAAAACCCACTGCACACACAGCATGCATCTCATTGCACCTGGTATCAACCGGGGGTGATTCCATATCTCATGGATCGTAAGTAAGGTGACCACATGGCCCAGCTGGCTTAGGCCAGTATCTGTTCCCAGATAATCATGCTGCCTTTCCTTCTCAAATATGTCCCAATTTGGATGATAAATTGTATGATCACCTTCCATCATATGCCCTTCTGGGGTGAGAAAAGCACATAACAGCCAATTAATTAATACCTGTTGAATAAAGGTTAATGAATTCTTTTTCCCATGGTGATAAATCTTCCTGGAAATGAAGAACTGACTAATGAATGGTCTCTGCAGTTTCCTTGGTAACTCTCTGTGACCCACAACCCTTTCCTAACTTCTCCCCCAAGACTTAAATATCCACTCTGCCCCCAGTCCCCTTGGTCATCCCACGGTAACTCTCAGAGCAGTAAAGTTGACGTGGGTTAGGGCCCAACACGGAAACTCTTGCACTCTTCCTTTGTCAGTCTTAAGTAAGAGACACCCCTGGACACACTTATCCCACTGCTTCCCTCGCTCACAGTAAGCCCTGCTCTCTCCTGGACAGATGCGGTCTCCTGTCTGCAAACGTCCCTGCCGTTCAGAACTCAGTCCTTCCTGATGAATCCCTCTCCCAGCTCCTC